AGACACGCGGGTTTTACCGTCAGGTGGAGCAGTTTATGTTCGTGACCGCTCGAGTGTCAGTGCTGCCCGGCGATCCTCCTGTATTTCTCTCGTCCGTTGGCTGTTTGTTAATTGTCTGTCCACCGTCACCAGGCATCGGTTCTAACCTCTGTCACCAACCTCGTGTAAGCCACTGCCCCTTTTTGGGCCTCCATTTCTCCACCTGTAGGATGCGGGTGGCGTGGGAGTGAGGGAGACCAGTGCTTCCTGATCAAGGGATTTTTCGGATTCACCTAGATACTTGCTTAAAATGCTGTTCCTGGGCCTTACCTCCCCCACGCCCTGCCAGAGCCTCACGGTCAGTAGGTGTGGGGCTGGGGATCTGCGTTTTTATAGTCCAGGTTGGGGACATTTGAGTACATGGCGATGCCTTGTCCCCACCCCTAGTTTCATACAGACACACGTGTACGTCTCGATGCCAATAACAGCTACACTAAGTCACACACCCAGACACAGCCATACGGACCTAGCTTCCAGTTCCCCATACACCACCACCTCCCTGGCAGGCTGCGTGCCCTCCGACAGGCTCTCTGTGTGTGCAGTGAGGTGGCTGGCCTAGATACCACGTGCGTTCGCAGACATCTTCGCACACCCGGACACATCTGCAGACACGCACGCAATCCCACACACTTAAACGCAGACGCAGAGCGACACGGGAAGGCACGTATCCTCAGGGATGGACCCCTATGCACGCACCACGGTACGGATGCACGGAGATGCTCCCCTGTAGATACAGAGTCACGGAGGCACCCGAAGACGCACACGTGAAGACACACCGATGGGTACACACGGACACGTGCTGATACTCACCCCTAAGACAGACAGATGCACACGCACACAAACGCACACTCCTCCTCTCCGCCTTTCCCTGGCCCAGCTCCATGAGAAGAAGCTCTTGGAAAAGAGAAACAATGCGCGGGCCTGAGGGGGAGGGGAGGAGGCAGGAAATCCCAGTGCCAGCCCTGTGCTGGTTCTGGGGTGTGGGGGGGCGGTCCGCCAGGATCTGGCTGCCGGGCCCTTCTGTAAGTCCCTAAACTGAGAGGGTGGCAGGGAGGGGGCCACTGCCATATCCTCTTGGCCTCTGGGAGCTTCCAGGCCTGGCATGGGGCTCAGCAGTGAGGGGGCGGGGGTGGGCTCTTTCCAGGAATCTCAAGCCTGTCGCTCAGGGGCAGGGCAGGCGCCACCCAGGCCCCTAATGGCTTCCAGGCGCCCACACTAAAGGCAGGGGTGGGCTCCAGACGGAGCTCCCGTTGCCCTTCCCGGCAGCCTGGCTCAGTCTCTCCTGGGGGCTGGGGGAGGAGGAGGAAGGGGAGCAGCGGGGAAAGAGGGGCTCTGAACAGCCCTCCTGCAAGTCCAGAGTCCCCTGGGGGCCGTGTGTACATACGTGTGGAAAGGGGTGGGGGCCCCAAGGTTGGCTTTCTGGAGAAGCCCACCCCCCCCCCGGCACACCAGGAACCCTGCACCCCACGTAGATTCCGCGGCAGCCAGACCCTGCCTAGCAACACCTCCCCTCACCCTCACTCCCATCCCACTCACACAACACAGCCCCGGGGACACACACACAGAGCCCTAGTAACGGACGCTCACCACACTCACCCAGAGTCGTGCAACACAGAGGCTCAGGTCACAGTTACAGAGACAGACTGCTGCCGCCCTGCCCTTCCTGCCCCTTCTCCACCAGGCTCAGTGCCTTCTTCCCATAGGGTGTGTGGTTTGTATGTGTGTGTGTGTGTGTGGCCTCCTGCTTCCCCTAGGGTGACACTACCCCCCAAAGAGCAGGTGGGGGGGGGGAGAGACCAGCCACCACAGGCCCCAGAGAGCCTTCCTCACCCCACCCTCCCCTCTCCTGCCTCCCACCAGCCAGACGGGTCTATTCCTGCTCTAATCCTCAGGGTTTCTGCTCAGGCTGTTCCCCCCCACCCCCCACTCGGAACGCTGCCCCTCAGTCTCCGAAACCCCCACCCATCCCTCAAGCTCAGTTCTGCCACCTCCAGGAAATGCCTCGATCTCCTCAGCTCCAGCTCCTCCTCCCCAGAGAGCACAGCCCTGCAAACCGTCGCAGCCACATTTGGCCAGCTGCCCTCTCTTCTTGCAGCGCAGGCTTCCCGGGCCCAGACGGGACGCTTGTGCCACCCACAGCTTCTAGGACAGGCCTTGAATACAGGATTTGCTTCAAGTTGGCTGGCGGGTGGAGAGCAGAAGGCTCAACTGTGACCTCGCATCCCGTTAGTTGGGCAGTCCCCCTTAGTGGGACTCAGAACTTCCGAACCCCAGCCCCACAGCCATCCTCACTGCTGCAGGAAGCTGTGGGCTCACTCTAGGACAGAAACTGGAATCTTTTGATCCAATACTTGGCTCAGGCGAGGCCCTCAACTACTCTGTCCACAGAAAGTGACCAGTGGTTCCTGCTGCTTGTGTTACTGTCTAGAAGGTCTCTCCCTCCTTCTTTCTCCATCAGCAAACTCCTACACATCCTTCAAGACCCACCTTTACTTTCCCCTCCTCTGGAAAGCCTTCTCTGATCTCATATAGAGCACGTGAGTGTTTCCAAAGCACTGGCACACCACCCTGTTCTTAGGCAATGGTCATAAGGAAATCTTGATCTCTCTGGCTGTCAGCACAGGGCCCAGCATACAGCAGATGACACATAAATACTTTCTAGGTTGATGGATAGAAGATCAACAGTTAAGGATCCCCTTATAAAGAGGGAGAGTTGAACTGTCCTAAGGATAAAGAGTCATTTTGTAGCCAGACTCCAAGACAGGCAGGTGTGTGAGCCTGTCTGTGGCCAAGGTCAAAGTCAGAGGTCATTTCATGGCCAGGTTAGGGATTGGGCCTCTTACTTAAGCTTAAGTGGCCCACAAGAGGACAACTTTGTGTTTTGTCTTTAGCATGTTTAGATGACTCTCACTATCCAGCTAGAGAAGGGAGCAATGCTGAAGGCTGGATGGGGGCCAGCTGAGGGGACTGGGGGTTACGCAGCGGCCCAGCTCTTCCCTCAAGCTAAGAACGCCGCTGTGTCCTTCCAGAACCTTTCAGGTGGCGCTCTGGAGCTGCCCATGGCCACAGGCCTGGCTGTGGGCAGGGAGCAGAGCCCAGCAGGAAACCGCAGAGGACAGCCTGATTGGATAAGTGCAGGGTCCAAGGCTGGTCAGCCCACAAACTGCGGGCACCTGTCCCTCGGACCTGCTGCCTGGGCTCCAGCCACTGGATGGCCAGGAGAGGAGGGAGGGAGGGAGGGAGGTAAGCAGGGCCTGCCAGCTAGACCTGAGCCCCTGGGGAGCAGACTATCCCAGGCACCCCCATCTCAGACCGAGGAGCCACAAAGATGTCCTACATCACTGATTAGAACTCCTTTCTTTACAATGGACCAACTTAGGTCCAGAGGAGCAGCGACTTGCCCACGTCCACCCAGAGGACCAGCAGCAAAGTGGGGGCGGGGTGTGGGGGGTGGGGGTGGGGCTGGACTGCTGGGACTGGATCCTTCCCCTCCTGGGCTAAGTCTGCCTAAGGGGCATGATGCCCCTGGGAACACTTATGAGAGGGGGTCCTCAGGCATCGGGCCAAGTGGCCAAGCATAGCTGGTATGGGAGAGAGTTAGAGCCTTTCACGGGGGCCGGCCGGCCTCTCGGCGACTCCTTGAACTATTCGCTTTTGTAGAGCAGACATCCCACCAGTCAGGGCTGTGCCACTGGTAGGCTGTGTGATATCTGCAACTCTCTGTCTTGTCTGGGCCGGTTTCCTTGTCTGTACGATGGGGAGAGGCACTAACAAGATTCCTAAAAGCTCTGTCCAACAAAGTGGGCAGACCTTGTGCCACCTGAACCGATCAGAGCCAACCCAACCCCCACACAGGTCTGTGCAACCCTCACTTAAGACACAGAAACAGGAGCCCAGGGCGGAGAGTGGGTTTGCCAGCTATCATCAATTGGCACTATTAGAACGGTGGGGTAACTGAGGACCACTCCATTCTCCTCGCACTGAGCCATCGCTCTAACTACCCCAACTCCCTCCAGAAATGCGCTTTCTGCCCGCCCACGGCCAGAAGTCGCGTCGACCCTCACTTCCTCGCCCCTTCCCCAGCAGCCCCGGTCCGGCAAAGACGCCCCGCTCCCTCTAGCGGCTGGCGGAGGGCAGAGGGGGCTCCCGGCCCCAGGCGGCGCGGTCCCGCCCACCCCGCCGCGCGGCCCCCATTGGCGGCCGCCGCGGGCTTGGGGCGGTGGCGCCGCGCTCCGATTGGCCCTTGAACCCGTCCATCCCGCACTCGCCATGGTGACCACGTTGGGTCCCCCGGGAGAGTTCCAAATTCCGCCCCCGCCCGCCGCCCCCCTCCCGTCCGGTCCCGGCCCGCAGCATTCCGAAGGCGGCCCTGCCCTCCCCCCCCACTCCCGGCAACCCCTCTACACCCGAGGCCTGGGGCCCCGGGAAGTTGGGGAGCCCCGGGAGAGGGCTAGGAAGTTCTCGGAGTTTGGGGGTTGCTGCGGACGCTGTGCCCCTCTCCTCCAGCACGCCCCCCAACTTAACCCCTTCCCTCCCGCGGAAGGTTCGCGGCCTGGAGGGAGTTCCCGGGACGCAGTGGCTAGCTGCCCCCAGCGCTGCCGCCCCCGCTCACCTCAGCCGGGGACCCGCGGGCTCCGGACGTCCGACCCGCCGCGGCTGGGCGGAGCGGGCACGGGGCTTGCCGCGGCCTCCGCCGGGAGGGCCGAGGGAGGGCCGCCGAGTCTCCTCCTCCCTCCCGGAGGGAGGGGAGGGAGAGGAGACGGCGGGGCGGGGGCGGTGGGCCCCGGCAAGCTGCAGCCCCAATGTGACCTGGGCCCACCGAGTTGCCGGGGTGGGGGCACCAGCCTGATTTGGAGGCGAGGGGCACGGGCCGGGGTGGCGGGCTCTGCTAGAGAGGGAGCGGGACCCGGACGGAGGCTCCACCTCCGCTTGGGGCCGGGGCGGGGGGGGGGGGGTACGAAAGGCAGGGTCTGGGGTCCCCGCGGGGTTCGGCTTTCCCGCCTCAGGCTTCCAGAGCGCCAACGACGCACTAGGCGCCCTGCAGCCGAAGTGGGCACCGCCTGTGCCGGGACAGCACGTGGGGCGCGCTTATCAAATGTTCACTTTTGTTACCTGCATTCTTCCTAGTGCCAGCTCTGCCACCGAGTGGCCGTGGAGCAGCAAGTCTCTGCCCTTTACAGGGCCTCAGTTTCCCCTTTGTACCACAAAAGGATTCACCAGAGTAACCTCACGCATGTTGAGAAGCATGTGCGGCACTTGGCCCGCGATGGGGGCGGGGGGAGATTTTCTCCCAGGTGCTGGGGTACGCCCAGCCTGGGACAGGAGCAGGCAGTTGTCCCCAGGCAATTACGGTAAGGCGCGCTCTTTTGTGCGCCCAGTGGCTGTGGGACTTCCTCCGCCCTTGGGAGTAAGGTGGTTGTGGTTTGCCCGCGGGATGGGGGATGGGTGCCAGGAGGGCTTCTCATCATATCCTGTATCTGGAGGGCGACTGTGGTGAATCCTTTTTTTTTTTTTTTTTTTTTTAAAGTAGGCTCTAGGCCACCTGTGAGGTTTGAACTCATGACCCTGACATCGAGTTGCATAGTCCGCTGACTGAGCCAGCCAGAAAAGCGCCTGCCATGAATCCTTCTGAAAAGATCACCAACACTTCCCGGAGAGAGTGGAGGCAACAAGACCACATTGGGACTCTACCTTGAAAAGGAAACGAAAAATGATGAAGAAAGACTAGCTTCAACTCACTAACACTATTTAGATTATGATTGGAACCATGCAGACATTAGAATGAAGAGTTGGTCCTTTACTGAAACAGGGTCATTTTTGCAAATATATTTGAGAGTTTCACGTGCAAATGTTGCTCTGAATCCTTTGGTAGTCTAACAATTCTCTCTGGAAGGACGCGATCATTTCTCTTTAGCGATGTTCTCTTCCTCTGTGGACAATGCCTTCATTTGTCCCATGTCACTTTAACCAACTTCATGAAGCCCTGCGCTTTTTGCAACATTTGCAGTTTTGCTTGTCAGTTCATTTGCTTCTTACTTGCGTGGTTAAATGCTGATGTCTGATGGAGACAGATTTGGGGAGAGGATGTGGTGTTGGAGAGAGATCTAGTCCGTAAATGTTGCGAGGCTGGACTTTGCTTTGCTTTGTACCTGGGCCTGTGAGAGTCAGTTACTAAGTACTCAGAGGACAGAGATTCTCCCCCTCTTTTTTTTTTAAAAAAAGTGTTTATTATTTTTGAGAGAGAAAGACAGAGTGCCTGAGCAGGGGAGGGGCAGAGAGAGAGAGGGAGACACAGAATCGGAAGCAGAATCCAAGCTGTCAGCACAGAGAGCCCAACGCGGGGCTGGAACTCACAAACTGTTGAGACTGTGACCTGAGCCGAAGTTTGCTGCTTAACCAGCTGAGTCACCCAGGTGCCCCAAGACTTCCCCCTTTTAAACTTGAGGAAATGCTCCGGGTGGGGTGGGGGTGGGGGGGCTTTTGGCTCAGACTTCCCCGAAGTCCACAGCGGGTAAGGACAGCAATGGGCCAAGAACCCCCTGGTTCTTTCCCAGGGTTTCTGGAGGTGACAGTAGGGATAGAGGGATAAAGAAGGTTGAAGAGGTCGAGTCAGTGGTGAAGCTGAGCTCCAATGAGAACATCACAGTTGGGCCCTCTCTCCTAAGAAAGGAAGTAGTCCTAGGAGTGTCTTGCAGGGGATGGGGAGATCCCACCCAGTCATGGAACCAAGATGGGTACTGACCATAGGCTTGGCAGTTCGTATGAATTATCTCAGTTTTTTTTTTAATTTTTTTTGTAATGTTTATTTTTGAGACAGAGAGAGACACAGCATGAACGGGGGAGGGTCAGAGAGAGAGGGAGACACAGAATCCAAAGCAGGCTCCAGGCTCCGAGCTGTCAGCACAGAGCCCGACGCGGGGCTTGAACTCATGGACCGTGAGATCATGACCTGAGCCGAAGTCGGACGCCCAACCAACTGAGCCACCCAGGCGCCCCATGAATTATCTCAGTTTTAAGCCACCCCGCGAGTTGTTATCACCAACTCATAGGAAAGTAAGAATCAGAAGTCAAGTGACAGGCCCTGGGTCACAGAGCCAGAAGGTCTCAGCACCCAGATCTGACTCTTTCAATCTTACCATTGTCACCCCTGTCTCTGAAACCACACACCCAGACTGCCCTCTGGATGCATCTAATCTGGTGTCAGCCTCCCAGTGGCCCCACCAAAGGGGTTCCTTCCCCAACTCAGCCTTCGATTGAGGTTTGTATTGGTATTTCCCACATTCCAGCATTTCTGTCTTGTATCTCTGCCCCCACTTTTTGCCATCAACACATAGCTCTTTTCCTCTAAATAATTTCGTTTTTTAGGATGTATGTGTATTTTAGGGTAAGCAGGAAATCTGTGTCAGTTGCCATAAATAGAAGAAAATCATAAAAATTAATGTCATGCGAACAAACAATGCTACTAAAATCTAGCTAGAAACTTGCTCTTTGTTAAATAGGGGCATTTTTCACAATAGCCAAAAGGTAGAGGCCACCCAGGTGTCTGTTAGTGGACAAATGGATAGATGAAATTGGTCTGCACATTCAAAGGAAAGTTACTCAGGCTTAAGAAGGAAGGGAATTCTGATACATGCCACAGCATGGATTGACTGTAAAGACATTACGTTAAGGGAAATAAGCCTGTCACAAAAGGACAAATATTGTGTGATTCCACTTCTAGAAGTTTCCTAGAGTGGTAAGATTCAGAGTAGACTGGTGGTTGCCAGGGGGCTGCAGGGAGGAGGGTAGGGAAAGTTGCTATTTAATGGGGACAGAGTTTCAGTTTGGAAAGGTGGAAAAATTCTGGAGACACATGGTGGTGAGGGTTGTATAGCATTGTGAATGTACTTACTGCCACTGAACTGTCCACTTAAAAAATGGTTAAACTGGTAAATTTTATGTATATTTTGCCACAATAAAAAATTATTAAAAATCAGGTATCTAGTTTTCTGAGTCCAATATAAAAGATTGAGAACTGAAAAGATAAGGACACAAGGCAGTAGTAGAGACAAGTTAGAGAGAATTCAGCTCTAAATGGAGGCTTCTCCTGGATGCAGCCAGGATTGAAAAACAATGAACAGCGAGTGACTTCTTCATGGTGTGACTCAGTTTAGGTAATGTCCTGTTGGGGGTCCCACTTACTTCTTGCAGATCACGGGGTGAGTAGCCCCCATGGGGAGAGAGAGATGCTTCCCTAGGGATGGTGTGTGGCTCTCCCAGGATGGGGAGAGGGAGGTGGCTTGCTGCTTCCTCCCTGCCTGGGGGGCTGAGCAAGGGACTGGCACGCCTCCTAAAGCTGAAGCATCTGGAATGTTTTATAGGGGAGTTGGAGGCAGATCAGCCTTCTCAGGGGAAGCTGGACTCAGGGGAGCTGCCCCTGAGCGCCCGAGGGATGGAGAAGAGCTGGGGTCCTGCCCAGTACGTGTGTGTCCCAGCTGGGACAGAGCGGGGAGGTGGATGCGAATGTGGCCAGCCCATCCAGAGCTGGGTGGAAGCTGGACGGGGCTGGACCACGAAGGCAATCGGGAGCCACTGCTGGCTTTTGAGCCGGGGAGTACCTTGGTGGTGATTTCCAGGGTCTGGAGTGCACGGTGAGGTAAAACCAGCACTGCTACTGAGGCAAGGCTTCGTGAAGTTGGCACAGATCCCAGGTGGGAAATAGAGGGCCTCGTCCTGAGCCCTGAGAGCAGTCTCTTGGGCTCGCAAACAGCACGAGGAGGAAGGCTGCTGGTGTTATAGCCCTAGATAGAGGTGGCCAGGAGACCTCAGAAATGAAGGGCCTGGAGGTCATGGCCTGGGTTGTGGCCACAGAAAACCAAAGTGCGGAGAAAGGCAAGGACTTTCCCAAGTCGTCTAGCAAGAGTGTGGCCAAGGGTTCAGGACACAAGTGCACAGGTGTCTCTGCAAAGCCTTTACCCTGCAGCCCCTTGCAGTGGGGGAGGGAGTGCGGAACCTGGATGCGTGGACCTGTGCTCCCCTCAGATCTCGCTGCCCTCCAAGAGGCAGCTCTCTTCCCCCTTCCCAGAGAGGCCTGAGCTACCTGTGGGTGGCACTTGGGTTGATGCTGGAAGGGCCACGGGCTGGGGGAAAGAGGAGAGAGACCCTGTTGGGACCTGCCTGTCTCCTCCTTGCTGCAACCCCTTCTCATCCCCGGGGGAGAAAAATACTTTCCTGAGCCGGAATTTGCCCAGGGAGTCTGGCTGGACAAGAGAGAGCACCCTGCCTCCCACCAAAATACACAGATACTTCCCCTTCCCCTTAGGATCCTGCACAGGAAGTGGCTGGAATAGGACCGGCTGACCAGCCTACCAGCCCCAAGTCTGGCCACATTTTCTGAGCGCTGTTCCGAGCAAGACCCTGCCCCAGAGGGCTCTGCATTGGGTAATTCCGGGCCAGGCTCTTGTCCTCTCCAGACCTCAGTCTCCCCCATGTGTGAAACAGGGGAGCTTTGTGGAGCGCTTCTGGTGACTTCGCAGCATTTCCTTTTATAAGCCCCACACTACCCCATGAGGTGGTACTCTCTCTCTCTTTTCCTTTTTAAAGTGTGTTTATTTATTTTTGAGAGAGACTGTGTGTGTGTGTGTGGACAAGGGGCAGAAAGAGAGGGAGAGAGAGAGAATCCCAAGCAGGCTCTGTGTTGTTAGCACAGAGCCCTACTCGGGGCTTGATCTCATGAGCCCAGAGATCATGACCTGAGCTGAAATCAAGAGTTGGATGTTTAACCCACCAAGCCACCCAGGCGCCCTTACGTGGTACTGTCTTATCTCCATTTTACAGAGGGGAAGCTGAGGTTCAGAGAGTTTCAGTCACTTGCCCAAAGTCCCCCAGCCAGTAAATGGCAGGCTTGGTATTTGAACCCAGGCAATGCGACCCAGCCTTTGCCTGAGGTCCCGGCCATCATCACTCTCATTGATTGTCAGTTCAGGCAGGGGTCATTCTCCCTTTTCTGCAGACGGGAAAACTGAGGCTGAAGAGGTGCAGCGCAGAGGCAGGTCTTGAAACCTTGTGGGGTGCCACGAGGGCCAGCTCTCCCCCCTTCCCCCACTGACACCAGACATCTCCTTGAGGTACTGCCACCCCCAGGAAGTGCTGCAGGAGCTGGGGAGTGAAAGCAAGAAGTGTTCTGAGCCCAGAGACCAGAGGAAGCAAGAGGCTGCAGTGAAAGAAGAAGTGAAGCGAAGTGAGAGCGTGTTGTGTTGTGTTGTGCGGGGCAAGGAGAGCAGAGAGAAGGGGAGGACTGAGAGCCCGTGCCGAGCACCGAGGGGAGCAGAGAGGAGGCGGCCGGCAGAGACATCCAAGTTCCCTTTTGTTCTGTGGACCGGAGCTGGGAGCCCGTGGCAACAGCACAGCAGCGGCGGCTTCACAGGTCAGCCCCATCCAGCATCTCTATTCCCCACTCCCTCACCTGTCCTTATCCACCCGGTCCCCAGCAGGTGCCTGCCGGGGCCCAGGATTGGTGACATCCTGGGAGCAGCAAGCTGGGGACACACCTCATTCCCTTCACTCTCTGGGGGCAACTCCAGATCCCTGGGAATGTAGAAATCTATATTTTAAAAAAAAGAGAGCAATTTAAACGAAGGAGTGTTTAGGCACTAGGTTCAAATCTTGGCTCCCTGCTGCGACCTACGGCAAGTTATTAGACTTTCCTGGATTTCAGTTTCCTCATCTGTACAGTGGGGTTAATCTGGTAGCCTGCACCTTAGATGACACTGGGAAGGGCCTGGATGGAGTTTGTACTGGGCAAACGGGAGCTGGTGCCCTTCCTCTCAGAGTGACCTGGACTGGAGCCCGGGGACTCTATGTCTCAGGGAAATGGCTCCAGTGCTGGCTTAGTCACAGACTAAGTTGGGCCTTGGCGTGGCCTCCCTTTCCCCACCTGTAAAACGGGGCTAATAATTGTATTTGTCAGGGCTTTCCTGCAGAGACCACAGGTTCAGTCCTCACCCAGGCTGGGGTGAGGCCAGCCGTGGGGGCTCCAGGAGCATGGCTGGCTCAGCAGGCCTGGTGCTGCCGGGGAGAGGGCAGGCTGCGGGGGGGGGGGGGGGGGGGGGGGG